TTCTGAAACAGGAAACGATTTATGTGGTCAGTGCAGGAGCAAAGCAACATTTCAATCTGAGGGATATGCTAAGGAATTCAAAAAAGTGTCAATGATAATATTTGGCATCTATCATGGAGGAAGATACAGGAAGATGGAGAAAATTATATAATGAGGAGCTTTATAATTGGCTTTCACCAAATACGTAATATTACTTTCTTACTCCGTGGCTCTACAGTCCTTGAAGGACCTTGACCTCAGCACATACGCGAGGTTTCTTAATCTACTTAGACATTTGGTAGGATTCCATGGGCGAGTGAGCGGAACACAAAAAGACGCGAACGAACATCCATCTCTTGAGTGGGATTCGAACCCACGGTTCCAGTGTCTAAGCAGTCAAGGTTAATGCTCTGGACCGCGCGGCCACCATGAACGAAAAAATACGTAATATTAGTTTAAAAAGAGAATTCCCCGATAAAGCGCCACTCACTATTAACATCTGCAGCAATACAAATGCACCGTTTAGTATTGCATCAAATTTCGATACAGTGCCATATCACTTGGTTTTATTATACTCTGCAGACAACTTCCTACATATTCAGTTGTGAAAATACTGCACGCCAACAATCTTGCTTTAACAAATAGAAACCACTCGGCTAAGAAACCGTTTATAGCGACCAGAAGGTGTAGGGATGATACTTGGGGTCACCGGTGAAAATGGCGACATTGCAAATCCAGTCAGTTAACAGTAAATGAACCTGCTACTGGAAGGTCGTTGATTTTAAAATGAAAACGTCACTGAGAATAAGCTGTGTAGCAACAGGAAGATTTCCAAGAATTCTGGTAGAACACTTACAGATCCGCCTCTAACTTCTTTCCCTTTTTGACAGGACAGTGGACTCTTGTGTAACGAAAGTGTTTCCACACTCTTTGAGTAACTAACTTACATTATGCAAACACGCTTTAGTTTGCATAAAATCGCCACGCTTGTCACAGGAAAGTTCTTTACACGCAGATAAAGTGAGACGTGTATGGGCTAATTACAATCAGGAGTTGCACTTGTGTGACAAGGTAAAAAGGGCAGATGTGATTAATAAGTTTTCGGATAGTACAGCCCAAAAGACATGATCCTGTAGCCTGCTGTCTTCCTTATCCACTGCCGATGAAAGATTGTTTTGCGGATCACAATTGCTTAACTTCACGTGATATTGTTTAGATAACGACATAAAAAAATTATTAAATGGGTACAGGATGAATTAAACATAGGGAAACAAGAAGTTCAGACAGTATTTTTTGTTGGAAAACCTTATGGGAGATTTGAGCGCTCTTGAGAGGATAATATTCAGATTAATCTTGGAAAATAAGTTTTAAAAATATGAATTATGTTGTATTAGTTCAAGGTACTGTCAGATGTTTCTGTGATCAACTTTGGACTTCATAAAAGCAAGTTATTTGTGTATAAATTAACATTCCGTCATTAAATTAATAAAGTTATAAATAAATTAACCTTTCATATTGGCTGAGTAAATTTTGTACTTGACCAATGTTGGGGTCGGGCGATGTTCGGTTCTGATCACCAATTATTTTAAATGAATGTTTTTGAGGGTTTCTTCAGACCCCCCCCCCCTCCAAGCGAATGCAAGGATAGTGTATTGATACAGGAAGTAATAATCTTTTCTCACTTGTGTTTCACCACACTTAACCATCGACTCTTTCCATTGGACACGAAATTAGCTTTGCAGTCGTTCATAAACCTCGGCCAGCTAAACAACCATCCATTCAAGTAACAGATCGAAGAAGCAAGGAATTATTGAAGCGATCTTTATGTTTGGCTATCTTTGCAGCTTTATTTGAAGTTTGGTTTCTGAACGAGGGACGTTGAACCCAAATATCAAGGACGTGCTACTTCCCGTTGCATATTTGAGTAAGTCGACTTGAATAAACGAAACCCTAGGTAAACATATATACACTGAGAAGTGTATGTATGTATGTATATGTTACCTCTTCAAGTTAGTCTCCGCTTCAATCGCTGGCTTGCCGAATAAGGTGTGCCAACACTGCAATAAATAATGTCAGATCTGGCGGTCACAGAAAGTGAGGAAGGTCACTAAGATTTGTTACCGTATGTTGACACTAAGTACGTGAACTGTAAATGTTTACTGCGAGATAAGTTTTGTTAACGGAAATTTTACGTGCTGGTTGATTCAGCTGTTCCTTTACTAACCTAAGGCAACCAAATCTTTTAACTTACATATTTTTGAAGTAACGATCAGTAAGTTGTAACGCAGGGTTGGAGTTATTTTCTCTGACTGTTAATTCTGCTAAATTTAATACATCTTGCCTTTCACGAGCTGGGGTACTGAAGTATAGTGACAGGATATGTGTTGGGTGATCGAAGTTTTAATTCTCATTAGGGACAGAGATTTTTCTTTATTCCACTGTATCAAAACAGACTCAGGGTCTTGTGAACAGCACAGAAAAGCTTACTGTAAGAGAGCGATTTTTACGGGACAACAAAGGAAGGCGTGAATTAACTACCGGGATTGGAACACTACCAAATTTCGTGCGATAAAAGCACCCGGCCGCTCGGACTGGCTGTTTGACTTTATTGTGGCAGGTGTCGTCAAATTAAGGATGAAAATTGAACTGCGAATGACTGTATCTTTATTCATAATGATCTGCAGTTAATGTTTGGAGATGCAAGATAAAATCTATCCATGCTTATCCAATAAACAAGTATCTTATATAAAAACTTGTATGTATTTATGCTGTTATGTAAAGTGGTCTTTTAAAGTTATCCCATGTAACTGAATGCCGAAATGGTTCTACAATTCTTTGCCAAATTCTCCAATATTAAATATAATTAAAATATGGTTATCTGTTCTCAACTTTATCCATGCGTGCTGTAGAAGATGATCACGATTACGTCACATAATCTGCGCAGGAACTAAGCCAAGCACTGACGAGGATTTCTTTCTGAAGAATTTTATATTTACATCGTCAGTTCGCATGTCACTTGCCGCACGTTCTGCCTAGTTTGGTTTAATTTAGGCGGAGACACTTCATGAGCAATATTCCCTTGTATCTCTGAAGTAACATTGAGAATCGTAATTTACAAACAGCAAATGTAACATGTAAAACTGCATAATTTAACGCTGTGGTAACAAAATCCGTAGGCTGAACATCCCTAATACAAAAATCCGCCATTGGATACGATTCTGTGATAGTTTCAGTATCGTTTCATTATGACTACTCTACCTAAGATCCATCTTAATGTTATCCTGTCTTCTTCTAGGCCATGAAAGTAGACGTTTCCCAAGAAGTTACTCCACGAGAACTGTGTATAAATTTCTGTTTTTTAGATATTTAGTTCCTCATTAGAAGTTTTATTTTCTTTGCTTATTTTTCGCAGGCATGCAAAAGATGCCCTTTGCAAGTCTCCGTCTGTCTGTAAATGGTGTAATATCTGAACTGTGTGTGTACATTATATGAGCTCAGTGGTTGATTCCAAGCCAAAGAAACTTATCGCAATGCTAGAAGCGTACAAAACTGCATGCATTATTACCCGTCTGGCATCTGATTCTGTGACCGCAAGTCGAAAATTACACCACGTTTGAAATTCGATTTGGATGAGATAATCGAGAAAGAATAGTTTGAAGTGTTTGCCGTGATCGGTACGGCTTGCGACTTCAAGGACGCTGGCAGGCCAAGCGTCAAGGTCATGAAATGACACACAAAAGTATCTGATATCGTGAAGTAATCATTTTGTATAATCAGACAGTAGAAGATGGCTGTTTTCTGGGTTGTTGCGCCGTGTAGTCTGCAAGGACATCTGAAACGTCGGTAAACTTCTACTAGACTACACGGCGCTAATAATAATAATATGATTCTTTACTAGTGTTAGGATTTGTACCTGCTTCTGAATATAATTAGTTCTCGTTAATATGTGTGCAAAATCAAGTCGAAGGTGGTGATCTTTAGAAACATGTTTATACTGGGTTTCAAGATACTTGGCCTGTTTGTCTGTAATTAAATCAGGAGACGGATGGTGTTCGGACAGTAAAACGTAACTCGCTAAGAAATTCTAGTGAAAAAAATTTCCTGAATCCTAACTAGTTATATATGTATACGGGAACGCTTGAGGCATCCTGGTACTTCTACGCCTTAGTAGGTCTGCAACTTCTCTGGCACTTTCGTCGTGCATTTAGACTAAACTTCACTTTACAGGCGGAAATCTTATTCGCCTGAATTAAAGATTTCGAAGGACAGATAAAGTTTTGTAGAGAGCTGAACGCTCCAAAAGCAGCGTTTGAAGCTATTATTTTCCCCATTGGTTTGCATACAGTTTGTATTCTGACTAATTTGTATTACGATGATTTTAGTGGTAATTTGTGGTAGATTTTGATTCCGTTATTACAGATTTTGTTTGATTCCGAATGTAATACAAAACACTCAGCGGATAACCAACCGTGGACTTCTAAATCGAAGATTGGATTTGGGGGGGGGGGGATCCTCATCTTAAAACTCTATAATGTTACAAAAAGTTATTCATGGACAAAGATAATTAGAATTTCTTCCGAATACATGCATACAGCATTACTGTTTGGGAGATTAAGCTAATAATTACACCTACGTAATAATGTGGGCGAACGTAGAATTCCGTTTTTTATACGGTTTCGATTCATTTGTGTCCATTCTGGTCCCTAAATTTAGTCCGACTAGTATCGTTGCGTTATGATTTTGATTCCATATTAGTGACCAGTAACGTCATTTAAACTTAAGTCAATGATGTATTTGACAACTTTTAAAAGAAATTGCCATTTTATTTGAAAATAAGTACAGGTCTGTGGGTAGGTAGCCTTATACTTCAGTCCTCTTCGGCCCTCGTGCGATTTGTAACCCATACGTTCTATGTAATCTTTTCACCGCCTTGCAGATCCCAGAGAGCTGGTTATCAGGATGGCCCGGGTGGACAGTGGTCATGAGAC